AAAATATCTTAGCAAACTCATAATCTTGAACGTACTACAGCTTGGTGCCCTAAATTCTTATTCCGACTATTTCCGAAATGCCTCAACCGGCTGTTTTAAAATATAAACTCAACTGAAAGCTTGAAAATATTTATATTCGGTATATGGGGGTTACTCTCGTTACTCTCGTATTGGCCCGATTTTATTCATTTTTGATACAAGGGCATTCTGTTATCACAAAGGTTTTTCTTCGTACTTGAAAACCAAACCACACAGATTGACCGATATTTCCTGTAGAAATTCGGCTCTCACTGTATGTGGCTAATTATATCATTTTTAATTTCTGCAGAGTTTTATTATAGTATATTAGAATCGGAAAGAATTAAAAATTTTATGTTTTCTGTATAAGAAGTAGGCACAGTAGGCATCCGATTAATTTTCACCCATTTTTACATAGAAGTGAATTATCCTGTCACTTATTGATTCGAATTTGGTTGAAATTGGTGGAGCGATTCATTAGATATGTATGGGTCTTAACGAAAAGGTGGACGATCTCACTCCCATTGCCCGTTAGACACCTATAAAATCCTTTTGTATCATCTTTGCAGGGATTTCATGCTCCAGATGTATTTATTTAGAGAATATTTCAACGTAACCGTTATTTGGAGACTGGGTGGGTTCATAATGCTCTGTAGCAACATGTTCCGAATGTATAAAGATTACAACTAAAAAAAATATAATTTGTATTCAACAATAAATATTGTATATTTAGAAGTATTTATGAGAAATATATAATTAGAGTGGGTCGGATTATTTCTATAAAATGTTCTACGGATCATGGCGAACAACTTCGCCTAAAGGAATATAATATAGGTCTAACTCCGGTTTCGAACCGACTTTTAAGGCGAAGTTTAAAAATTCTAAATAATCGGTTGTATGGGATGTATGTGATATAGTTGTCCGATCTGGCCGATTTCGACACATAATCAATAGATTATTAACATGCACCAACGCACTAATTTTCATTACGATATCTCAAAAATTGCCGAACAAATTGTTCAAATTTCCAAAAAACTTTGCTTTAAAAGTCGCTGGATCGAAACCGGTTTAGACACATGGTCTCTCAAGGGAATTTTTCACAGCAATCCGTAGAACATTGCCCTATCCACGATTTTATCTATTTTTTTTTGGAATCCTGTAAATATGCCAGCTCTAATGTGCATACATACATATACAAACATGTAAAAATAGAAATATACGGCCACTAGAGGACACTTACATCTTGACATTGAACTGGCTGCAATATCCAATGGCTCGGACAAAATATATTCATTATAACACAAAAGGCACGCGCCGACTAGATTGGCAGGCAGAAGGTATGTACTTTGTACGGCTGAAGCACTTAATTTAACAGCTGCACAGTTAGATTTCGCACTCCTCACCTCCACAAACTCGGTCACTAGGAGCCCGCCACTCACCACCAATAACACTAGCACACGAATCCGCTTTTGGCGCTCTTTCGTCGCTCACTCTCACAGGAACTCTCGCTTGGCGCTCGTCCCTCACAAACACTACGCTGTATGTTATACAAAGGCAACACTTGTAACTGTTTTGGTTAAGTAGCAACAGCAACTCTATTAACCCTCTCTTAACGCTGACACGTAGGATAATTTCCGATATAGGCAAACACTTTAATTAGTATCACTTATGGATGGATTTTTCACACAAGCTTTCCAACAATTTTATATCTCTGTGCGTAGGTATGTATGTTATAGATAACAATAAAGCCAATAACAACAACAAGTGTAAAGATTGCAAATTATTAGCCACTTAGCAACACTATCCGGATGATTACCATCAGCAATAAATGAAAATAAAAATAGCAATAAAGAAGGGAGATCAGGAAGAGATTTTAAGTTGGTGCTGTGATAAACGGTCGCGTAAAGGAAAAGGAACAAATCAATTTCCAAATATGCGCGGCAGAATGGGAGTACAGCGGCGCAACACTTCTCACCTCCGCACTTCACCGTAGCGCTCAACGACGTCGAAGCACACACCGCACCAAACTTAACCGTTTCACTTAGCTGCGCTAGTCCTCGGCGCCTCCTGGTTCGCTCTGTTCGTTGCTTTTTCACGTGTTTGACCTTTGTGATTTGTATACGGAAATTCAAATTAGTGTGTAGGAACGTATGCGAGCAAGTCGTTGCAGAAGCTAGTGGGCGCTGTGCAGAAGATCGATTTTTCAGAAAATTCTAATTAACAATCACTTTTCACAGTTTTATTGCATTTCAATATAAACTTTTGCTTTTAACTGATTTTTTTTTTTAATTTTATCTTTATTGGCTACGTTTGCTATTTTTACCGAACTCCAGTTGCGCTCTTTCACATTTGACCAACCACGAAGAACTGAACTCGGCTGAACCATGCGGAAGCGCACACCGTGCCGTTGGAGAACTTTTGCAGCAAATGGAAACTCATGGAAATGTAAATGCAGAGAGAAATGTAAGGTGTACACAAATATATGTACATACATACATACGCCTTATGTTTTGTGGTGAAGTGTAATTGTGCTGGATTGTCATTTTTATCATGTTAGTGCTTTTAGATATCATGTTCTTTGATGACAAACATAATTAGTAAATATATTTATTATTTATAGAAAAAAAAGTATTTTTATGGAAAAAAAATCAATTAATTTTTAGAAAAAAAAAATATTATTAAATAATAAAAAAAAATGTCAGAAAATAAATATTTAGAAAAAAATTATTGGAAAAAAATTAACTATTTTTGTAGAAAAACAAATGTTTAGAAGAAAAAAATAAATTATTAGAAAAAAATGTATGTGGAGTGCTATAGTATATTTTAGCCTAAAATAAATACTAAACTTTTTCTTAAATAAAAATTAGTATTTAATGTTTAGAGCTTTGAAAAGCCTTTATTCAGGGAATGAGAAAAAAAAAGAAGATTCATACTTTATTAAAGAAGTTCATGAATATAAAAAAAAAAAAAAAACAGGAAAATAAGTTAGTCTCGTTTGCACCGAAGACAAAATACCCTTCACAAATAAAAAATATTCCAAAGAACTTTACTTTGATCGATTAGTTTGTACAGCAGCTATGCGCTATAGTGTTCCGATCAGAACATATTATACAAAGAATGGATTTTTTTCGACCAGTTTGTATTTCAACTATATGATATGGTGTTCCGATCAGAACAATTACTTCGGAGATTATACCGTCGATTATAGTTCGTGTCAAATTTCGTGAAGATATTTCGTCAAACAAAAAAGTTTTTCATAGAAGAACTTGATTTTGATCGTTCAGTTTGTATGGCGGCGTGTGAAAAGTATCAAATCGATATCTTAAATTTTGAGAATTAGTTCGTGATATAGAGACTAACGGATGAGACTAAATCGACAGTTCCCACGACACTGGGGTCTACGTAACCGGAACGGACCCGAATATTTATTCGGTCAAGGACTGTCAATTCGGCAGAACTCTACCGCTACAACAACAACAACAACTAAATCGACTCAGCGCATCTTGCTAATCGATCTACATATATACGATGCGACGACTCCTTTTTGGTGTTATAAACTTCTTGGCGAACTTAATATAGTCGAATATACAAATTATATTGACTTTCTTACAATATGTATAACGCATAATAACATTAAAATTTCATGTGGACTATATGCACTTTGTCTTTTTTAAAAAAACTCGTTTAAAGTTTTATGTTTAAACCTGATGGATTCAGTGCTGATTGGACCGAGAACGTTAAAAGGTACTTCGAAATTACTGCAAGAATGTTTTCCGCCCCTACAACAGCAACAATCTTAAATCGCTGATTTTATTTTTTTTTTTTTGATAAATCTAGACTGCCACCAATTTATTAGACGTTGAGTGATGCAAAAAGAAAATTAAATTCATTTTACAAATCAAAAAAAAAAAATTGATTTTGTATACTACTGTAATTTTCAAATACTGTTAACTTTCTGTAAGAAACTCACCACTGTTACAGTGTCCTTGCGGAAGTGCCTTAAAGTCCTCTGTTATTCTTCAATGACAAAAATTAGGCTCCACTGCAAAGAGAAAACCGTTGCCAACTGCGCTCTTGACTAGAAAAGAGAACTGGACATATTAATTGACAGACTATTCATACCATACATGTCAGTAATCGAGCGTTGAGTTTCATTACATTAAAAAGCGTAATCAATGATGCAATTTTCTTCATTTATTTTGATTTAGCTCTTTGTCATACATTGAGTTATTGTAACCATTAGTCGCTAGATTAATAATTATCAAAGTCAGTGTTGCTCAATTTTTGTTAAATAATTTGTATACATATTTACTTGAATTATGTGTATGTTTGTTTTTTTTTGCTTTTAGATAATATAATAAATATATTGTTAATTTGCATAACTTGTCTGAATATATCAATTTTCAATTTATTATAACTATGTGGTATTACTTTTAATTACTTTTAATTTTATTTAATTATTATATAAGCTAAATTCAAGTTGATAAATAAGCCAACAGTAAAATCACATTTATGCGTGCAAAATGCATTGCTAAACAAAACTTCTAGCTTAATGCTAAAACAAAAAATAAATACATAAGTAAATAAAGCAGCTATTACATTTGATGAAATTAATTATTTTACATAATTGCAGTTTTTTGCTTAAATATTTGCAATTGTAAACCAAAAAAAATGTATTAAAGATCTTTCGTGTTTTCCTTTTTTCCTCAAGCGTCTAATTTCATGTTGCAAATATCAAACTTTTTTCATATAAATATACACCTTCAGCGCAAAAATGTCTAAAAATATGTAGTATATATGTCTGCATTATGCGCATAATTGTATGCGGTTATTAATACTACAAATTTATTTAATCAATTTTGGTACCAAACTTGCGTGCGCGAATATTTATTCAAAACGTTTTTGCTTACAGCATAATAAAGTAATTCTTTGCTTGCACTTGCTATTGAACACACACGCACATAAAGCAGAAAATATATATGTGTATGTATGTATTATTGATCAATTTATTGCAAAAGGAACTATTCCAGTTTTAAAAAAATATATCTTGCCTACAAATACTGTGCTTTTATCTAATGGTGCCTGCTTTTCTTGTATAGATGTTGCATGTGATTTTTTCTTAGCAACTTCTTTTGATATTTTCCCCTGTATTTACATTGTATACTTCCACAATTCGAAGAGCTGCATAAGCTCAACTGTCTGCAGTAATTTTTTACGAAGCACTAACTTTGCTTAGCGAAATAAGAACTTTCTAGCATATAAATTTCTCACATGCAACATTTTTAGCTAGAAAAGCAAACGCCATCATTTACACTTTTTAATTTAATGCTATTTAAATTCGCTCGGCGACCCTTTTCCTCTTTCTGCTTGCAGTTATAAAATAAGGCCTCTTCAAACATAAAACTCTACATACTATCTACGCAGATCGACCACCTTTATCTTCCTTTGAGCATCGAGCTGAATGTGTTGCGATTCCTGTAAATGTTAGAATACATTTTCTGGTCATTTTAAACACATATTTATATACATATGTATGCATACCATATACAGTCGTGGCTCGTTAGGATGCGGATGAAAACCTGTTTGCCGGCATTGTGCAATATAGTCCAGACCATAATCCGGCGTTAATATGAAGAAACCAGTGCTAAAGTGAAAAATTTGATTTCTACATAAGATTTATATAGTTCTAAACACATAAATATACGACTTACGTCTGATACTTGGGGGCACAAACAATGGCAATCGCCTCAGGCATCATCATCTGATATGAACAGTGTGTATGCAAATCCACCGATGAGAGGAAAGCTGTCTGGCTTGGATGCGTCTGCAAGCATGTAGATAAATTTGTATAAAAAATTACGAAACATAAAACAAAATTTCATAATATCCACATAACACTTATACTGGAGTCACAGGGTTCACATAATTAACGTATACTACAACTTACATGAATCCAACCCAGTGTAATGAGATTCTGTTGATCTTGCACATCGAAAATCTCTTCCTCATTCATTGTATTACAGCTATCAGGTGTACCTTGTTGCTTTGGTATTATAATATGTGTGATAAATAGACGATTCTGTGCCAAATGACCAGCTAGAATGCCGCAAGTTTCGATGTTTTTCAAAGTATTGCTTTGGGCCAATTGCAAGAACACGTCCATTGTGTTCTCGGGTATGATAACTGTTCGCAGTGAGCCCGCCAGTAGGGAATCGGACCGTTCGTAATGTGGTTTTTGGTTACGATCGAAACTGGGTGGCTTGCTGTGAACAAACAGAAAGTTTGGGTACAAAAAATTTAAAATTGTTTTTCTTATACAAAAAAATATTAGCTTAAATAAATGAATTACAATTAAAATTAAAAATGTCATTTTGCTTAAAAGGAAAAGCATAAACAAACCTTATTGATTTTGCGCCTTCTTTGTCCGCATCACCGGGAAAAAGTAGGCCCGAACCGGCACGATTTGTACCAGTTGGAAAATCACTTGGATAAACTACCTTATCTAACAGTCCCAAATCAGGCGCACTTGGTTGCATGCTTGGATCAATTTGCACATGCAAATTAGTTGGTATGTGTGCACCGGAACCACCGCTAGAACTTCCACCAGCTGTTGCACGTCTTTGACGTTCACGCTCCAATTCACGCGCTTTTTCCGCCTCTTTGTTGGCCAAAAATTGTTCATACTCTTTTTGATAGCGTTCCAGTAGTTTGGCTCGCAATTTTTCTGTGGTCGGCATTATTTCTTCCTTAATACGTTTATTGATCACTTTTACTTCAGCCTTGATTTTTGGATATTCAGGATGTGCACGTATTTTCTCAATAAATAATGTCATATACTTCATGTAAAGGATAAATGCATTTTCATGATTTCCCTCCGTGAGGTAAACATTTGCCATGCGTAGCATTTCTGTGCCGGAGCGATAGTATCTGAAATTGTAGTTGCAAATTTTAGTATGCAATCAAGCAAGGGCATAGAAAATTTAATTCCAAATTGATTATATTCTTTTTAAATTCGAAACCATCTTCCTTGTAGTATTTTGTTTTTGTTAATTTGAAAATATGATTTTCGCTTCAGAAGGCTAAATAGTAACAAAACATAAAGAATACAGGTACAAGGACTTTTAAGAACTTTTACGTACGCGAACTCAAGGGCATTTGCATAAGCTGAAGGGAAGGTGATTAATGGAGATTATGTTTTGTCATTAATTAAGTTTATTGCTGTTTTGTGTTTTTTAATCGTTGTTCTATTTTCCCAACCCTTGAACTGACTCACCGTGTAACTGGAACGTTGGCGTCCACTTCTGTAATATTGCCGTGATTGGAGAGGAAGCGCATCCGTTCCTGCGGCTCCACTATTGACATTCCCATATTGTTCACCGCCTTTGCCATCGTCGTGGGTTTGTGGACACTACCGCTGTTAAAACCTTTTCTAGTTCATTCAATTATATTGTTTTTCACTTTATTTGATTTCCTACTCACTTTCGCTAATAAAAACTCAGGAAACTTGCTGTATTGTCAAAAGCGAAGTACAGCTGATCGGCCAATGTTGTCATTTTTATTTTGTAGTTACGTTAAGCGGTGCTCTTTGAGGGCGAAATTTTCTCCCCAAAGGAGTAATTTGGAATCGGAACAATGAGAGAAATATAACCAAAAACTATGCCTACATATATTTTTTTTGTCAAATCCAACAAGACCAAATTGGGACAAGTAAGGAAGTTTAAGTTCGGTTGTAGTCCAACATTTCATACTCTTGCTACTTGCAAGTATCAAAGCAAGGAAATGTCTTCAGCAATATAAGGGTTTTTAGTTGTTTTGGGATCAGAGCTAGTTTTCATCCGATTTTTATTCATTATAGGCACTAAGATGAACCGTTATTACCGTTATTAGAAAATCAAATTCTAAACTCACATATTTGTATACGATATGAAGGCAACCTGAAATTAGAAAATATTTCTATTGGGTACAGATATGGGTGCTAAGGGAAGTATTTACCCCGTTTTTGACTTTCAGACATACTATACTCAGGAAAGGATTATATTTCTGATAAAAACTTCTCTATTGGAACTTTGATCGACATATTCGATATTTGGGGCTTAAATAAATTTGGCCCATTTTGAACCTCAGAGAAAAGCGAAAGCATCAGATGGAATTTAAAATTGTATTATATGGGAAGGAGGCGCAGTAGTAGTCCGAATTTGCTCATTTTCAGTTTAGAAGCTAGGAATTTCAATAACATATTATTTATTAATTTTGGAGCGATCGGTGGAGTATGGTTGTGAGATATGGATTTTAACCGAAATGTAGACGGTTTTAACCCCAGCTCCCGTAAAAAAATATAGGAATACGCGGGGTTATCACCTAATTCCATTTTCACGGTTGGGTTATTGTAGCTTAAGTGGCTTAGGAGTTATGTACATTAAACATCATTATTTTAAGCTCACAGGTGCCTCTTACTACTGTGATCGCTTATGGCAAATTATAGTTTTATAGTATATCGTTCTCAGTTTTTGCTAAAATTTACTAATTCTCGTTAAGATATCTCGATTTAAATTATCGCTGGCAAAAACGAACGTATGGACAGACGGAAAGTTACTCATATTTCAACTCGTCTCATCATCCTGTTCATTTATATTTGAATAACTATTATATCTAACTCGATTAACTAAACTGATTTTTGTCAGTCTGGTGACTTTAAAGGAGATATATGGGGCAAGAACTGAGAGAGATCTGTGAAATGAAGAAAACTGCCAGATCGGCATACATCTACATACATATATACCTTATAGCGTATCCGACTTTTCTTTCTGGCTATTATAAACCCTCTATAGCTTATTCTGGGCATATCGGTTTAACCGGATTAAAAACTTTCATAATAAACTTCATACTTTACGACAGTTTATAAAGTTCGCTTCCGTCCAGATTCGTCCTTACTTACTTAAATAAAAAACTGTTTTTGGTTATTTTTGTTACTTGGCTTAACCTTGCCATTCCGACCATTCCAATAAAGCAGTAGTATAAGTTTTTATAGATTTATTGCCTAAATTACTTATTATACTTATACAACTTCTTCATCCAGATAACTATAAATATATTTGCATACATACATACATACTTAAATAGTTTATGCATACGTATGTATATATCGCAGCTTAATCTCCAAGTTCAAGTGCTCTATTGCTAAAGAATAATCTCATACAGGGTTTGTCCGGAAAGTAATAAGACTTTTTTTCGCGCGGCGTGTTTTTGTGAGTGGTGTAAACCGAAAATGCGGCAGCGTTAGAGCAGAGGTACGCGGTTAAATTCTGCGTGAAACTCGGTAATTTTGCGAAAGAGACGTTTGATACGATCAAGCAGGCTTACTCAGATGTCGCTTGAGCAAGAAGTGTTGTGTTTCTGTGGCACCAGGCCATTTTGTAGGGCCGAGAAGAGGTCGCTGATGAAGATTGGAAGAATGATATAATCCAAAGTGAAAACGATGCTCATTGTCATCATTTGACATAGAAGGCATCGTCCACCATTAATTTGTTACGCCTTCAATGCTTGAAAATCGCTGGCAGCGCTACATCGACACAGAAGGAGTCTATTTGGAAAGTTTTTAAAGAATTGTAACGATTGGTTCAATAATTTTTTTTAAATCGACTAAATTTTATCACTTTCCGGACAAACCCTGTAATAATGGCGATGGGAATTTTGAAGTATTTGTTTACGAATATTGATTATGGTAAACCGATTAGTAAAATAATATTAGACAAAAACTGCTACTGTAACAGTAGTTAGTAGAATCCGAGGCGGTACAGTCGAAGTTAGATCTCGTGCAAGTGAGTTTATATTATATTATATGTGAATTAATTATATTGTTATATTAAAGAAATGCAAACATTAATTTACGTTGTATGTCGGCGAACAAATTTGAAAAATATTTTGAAGTACATATACTACTGTGAGCAAAAAATAGTACGACTTTTTCATTCAATCGGCCGAATATCGTGGTAAAGGGGAGCCGATGCCGAAAAACCCACGTCAAAGCAGGTCAAAAATAAAGGATATGTTGACAGTTTCTTAGATTATCGACAGTTTCTTAGATTATGTGGTGGACTCCGAATTCCCTCCGATCTGTCCACAAGGAATACAATTTTAGTATTATGCGTCGAAGCTATGCGTAAAAAGAGGTCGGAATTATGAGTCGACACCTTTTTTTTTTTTTTTTTTTGATTTTGCCTGATTTAGCTCCGTGTGACTTCTGGTTATTCAGAAAACTGAAACGACAGTACCTGGGAAAGCGTTTTGATTCAATTGA